TTTTATTTGAAAAAGTCTACCAAGAGCATAAATGTAATGAGGCTGTAACTGATGTCATTCAGTTGTTATAGTGAATTTATTTAAATCTGTTCATGGCAAATCAGCCACTTAAACCTCTTTCTCCAGAGAATGGAGCCTGATACCTGTCAGATTTAAAAACCCTTTGTAATAATTCTAATGCTGTGAGAAAGTCCATAATCCTCCTCACCAATGAGCCATTTTTGGATTTTTCAGATGCTGATGACCATGAGTTATGTAAGAAGAGGAAAAGGAGGAGAAAGAAAAAAGTGTTACCCAATACCACAGAGGAAGTGTCCAACCCTCCAGCAGAGGGCGCTGTACTGGGCCAGACAGATGCAGCACATCCCAGTGATGAAGGGGACACTGGAAGCTCAGTCAGCACAGAGCAGCTCCGCAAGAACAGAAAGAGGAAGAAGAAGAAAAAACGTCTCAAAGAGAAAGTCCAAGCTCTTGGATTGGTGCCTCGAGCAAGAGCTGTTGAATTCACGTACGCACAGAGAGATGTAAATTCAGAGAAGGTGCTCGACTTCCTTCGTACCACACAAAGAGATCTACCTCTCTGATCTCAAATACTCTGGTATAACATATTACTATACACTTAAATTATTATATATATTTTTTCCTTATTAATGAGGATATAAAGGACATTGCGGGTATAAATATACACTACCACTAATGCCGCTATGTAAAAAAATATAATGCATCTTTGTTAGATAAATGTTTATTCATATATATGTGTATATATAACAGCAATAAAATAAACGTAAATATTGCTACTCTTTTCTTCAGGCTCCTGTGTAGAAAGTGGCCCCTCTCTTTCCCTCACTGCAGCGGAGGCTCTGTTCTCTCGTCTCTCAGGCTCTCTAGGCTGTGTGGCCTTAGGGCTGTACTGGTGAAGAATGAAGGGCAGTTCAAATCACAGCTGCAAGAATTCAGACACACAAGCAAATTACATGCAGGTGAGTGCGGGTGTTTGGACCTCCCATGTCTGAACATCAAGCATATGTGTTTTTGATTCATAGTGATGGTTGCAAACAATAGAATACAACTCAAAGAAAAAGTAATAGTAGCCACATTTTTTTACATTTTTACATGTCTGTACTCATTATTTGATCTTACTGCCAAAAGACTTTTACGCTAAATGTAAATTTTTATAACTAAAATGCCCACAGATATGCCATTGTTCAAAAATTTGAGGTCAAACGTTTTGAAAGAAGATAATACTTTTATTAATGTATTGAAGTGAGGAAAACAAAAAGATAGATAGATAGATAGATAGATATAGATGTTGCTTTGTTGAGCACAAGAGACTTCTTTTATAAACATAAAAAACAGATACCACTCAATTAAAGTGCAGACTGGCTTTATTGACTTAACAAAATCTGCGTTTACAAAGAATGTGTCCATAGTGTTTTTGCATGACCTTTAATGTATGTATGCATGTATGTGTACGTGCGTTTGTGAAGTCAGATTAGATTTTAACAAGATGATCAGTGTTTTCCTGAGGAGCTACAAGCACCCAGCGGATTCAGGACATTCCACCGGTGTCCATGGTGACTCTTAAACATAGCCTCTGTCTCCACGACAACCACAGGACATACCATTTATCCTTTTTTTTCACCCATACACCATTATTTCCACCAGCAGGTCATTGACCCTGTTACTCTGTTTTGTGGTTTCCCTCAGATTTCCTAATAACAAAAATTTGTATGAAAATACAGGTGCCATGGTGCATTTCACTAAAGCAATTTTTATTATATAGCAGTTATTTGGTCCCATTGCGATTTTAATCTCTTTTACAAGAGAGATCTGGCCAAGATATTAATAAAATTCAGGCAGAAGAAAACATAAATAAATAAAACCTTAGAAAAAAACATTAGAGAGCACACATTTACTATGTGATCGTTTCTTTCTCTTTCTTGTTTTACAGATGAGGTTTCAGTAGTCTGCACACTTATTGAGTATTGGCTGGCAGAGATTCTGCCCATGCAGAGACAGCAGAGGACATAACGTCCCCAGATTCAGCACCTGAGAGGAAAATGACTGAATAACCAGCAGGTCCCTGATTGTAATATCTCATTATGAAAGAGATCTTCAGTCATGCTGTTTTATAGTCAAGGATGTCAAGAAACTCGGGATCAATCAGCTTCAGCAACAATTCGGATTCCTTTTGAAGACCCAGAATCATGTACTTTAGTTTATCCTGCCTTCACATTAATAATTACTTAGGAAAAATATATTTTTATTATTATATTAAAATTAATATATTTATTATTATTTATTTTTACACATTCTCTGCTGCTCGTTCTTTCTTCACACTGCACCAGTACACTCCCAGAGATGTATATTACTGCAAGACAAACACTAAAGTATTGTTATTGACCGTGACTCTGGATCAACGGTCTTCCTTCAGCTCATTATGAGGAGTCTGTGGTTTAGTCTCTTAGCGGCTAATTATCTTAACATCAGAATGTCAGCAGCTCATCTCTGATCTCACAGCCTGTTTAGATCATGACATTTAAGCTTTTACGCACTAGACTGCTTGTTAACATCATTTACCCAAACCAGTGCCTGATTTACATTTTCTTTTTCGATTCAATGAGCTACTTTGGGCCATCAATGTGACAAGCCACTGTGACCATCAGTGTGACTATAAAAATGTCTATAAAAATATTTATTAAACTTTTAATTCCATTTGTGAAAGAAAAACAGATGTGTGCTTGTTTTCAGTGATTGTTTGAGATACCTACCTGCAGTGCACTACATACTATGATCCATTTAAACTGATTCGATGGCTTATCCATGACGTCAAGGAAGAATGACTTTAGCTATACAAGCGTCTCTAGACTTTAACGTGTGTTTGTGCTAATCTGCGACACAAGGCAACCCACAGCAGAGACTTGCCATTATAGGATCACATGCATCTGGGTTGGCGCAGACAGAATAATTTTTTATTGCGTCCCATTATGTTACAGTGTTGTGAAATAATAGCCTTGCCATTTCTCTCAGAAATATTTCCTTACACCAGCTGGAATATGGTGTGGAGGACACAGCAGGTGTGATGATGGTATTATACAGTAGCAGCTGAAAAGAACAAAATAAAATAGCTAATCATCTTGTTTTAGCAGTAGACGCAGCATATCATCAGACTAAAGGCTCACTGCAGCTTTAATATCACAGTTTATTGGTTTATAGTTTATGGATCAGGACTGAATATCCACTCAGAAGATGAGAGGCAATCCTGCAAAGAGGTGGAGCGAATATCTGCCAGTCAGAAGTGCTCGGAAAAGCAATTTAATTTAAACATACTAAATGATCTGCCACTGAGTGAGGCCTATTTATTTAACAGGTCCTCATAAAACACAAGATTTGTCCGTCTCCAGTGAGGCCCTGAGACAGATAAAACATTGTGCGTTTAAAGGGTCTATAGTATGTTGGGAAAGACAATATTCTGCTGTCCCCTGTTTATTATGTTCTCTACCCTGAGGCAAAACTCCAGACAGGTTCATTTTAAAGTGTAGCAACAAACAGATATTTAACTAGGTGAGACAAAATGGTGGCAGAAACATCTGAAATATACTGTTTTTGTTTCTAGGATCTTCACTAGCATCCATAAGCCTAGGGTCAGAAAAAAATATCCCTTTCCATTGCATTTATTGCATTACATTAATGTTTGAGCTACAGTAAAGCCTCTTGTATAAATAAAAATATATTAAGCATCACAGCTGTTATCAACATTGATAATAATTAATGTTTCTTGAGCACCAAATCAGCATATTGGAATGATTTCTGAAGAATCATGTGACACTGAAAATTGAGCACTCGTCACAGGAATAAATTTAATTTGAAAACATATTCAAATAAATATATTCAAAATTATACTTTCTTTTTAATTTAGTTTTGTTTTTGTTCTGATAACTGGGTCAACTCTGACCTGTGTGACTAGACTTTATAGCCCTTTCCGGCTTTACACATGCCAGGCTATACAAGGATGTCGTCCTTCACAACAACTTAATCCCCCATTCCTCACAGTTGCCACTGTCGTCATAACTAGCATGTCCAACAAGTGCATGCTAGCCTCATTTTGGTAATCTCATTGAGACAGAGACAGACAGACGGGGCCTCTCTCTCTATATAAGCTCTGATCAGAGCAAGACAGTGATAGACGTGCAGTCCAACCGGAGTGAACTCTATCCTCTGAGAAGCCTCCTTCTTTCAGAAGGAGAGAAACAAGGAACCAGAGGAAGAAGTCCTGCTCACAAACAAAGCTTCGAGGCCTAGGGACTAAATTTATGATTTTTGGTCTCCACGTCCTACTTTACGACACATCCACTACTTGCAGGTGAGTAAAAGAATCTTATGAATTAAAAAGAAAACTGCAGAAATATACAGATAAACTGAAAGAATCATCTGCAGATGTTTATAGTTTTGTATACGTATGTGTATTTACACCTAAATTGGGGCAGAACTGCAGGGATAAACTCGTAAAGCTTACTAGATGTTGATGTAATAGTGAATAATCTTTTTGTTCTATAAAACGTTCCACATGGTCTGATTTCAATCGCTATTATCTCAAATTAGGCCTTTAATTGGCCATTATTACATTAGAAAACTCTTGTAATTACAATCCATTTTAAGTTGTTACAGAATTATCATGATGATTTACTTTAGTGAGTTCTTTAATTATTTAACCATTTAATATTTCACAGCCAAACTAAATGAGTCATCAGTCAGACAGGTTAAGGTGTTTCTAATTGAACGTGACCTGAAGGTTAATGTTTGTCAGTTCATCATACAATATAACCATTGATTTCCACTCTCTTTCAGACGTCCACCGTACAGACTGTGACCCAAAGAGCTCACAATCTCGTAGTGCCACGGGTGGCTGTTTTTCTGGGTGCATTGGGAATTGCGATGTCTGGATACAGCTCTCGCCAACTTGCTGTTCACCACCGTCCCTCCACACGCATCCTGCACTGGATGTCCAAACCCGCCATTAATGTCGATAGCCCCAGTTCCCCAGGTCGAGCCCGTCTGGCTTCAGCCAATACTTCAATTTCATCCATCAAAAAAGATGAACAGGATCAAAAAATCAAAAGCACAGGTGACACTGAGCAACCTGTGAAGGCATCACCTGACATATGAAAACAAAACAAAAAAAAAACTTCAGCCACACAAGGGACTTGTGAGGTCTTACTGGGTAAAATGGAGCATAGTCAGTTATTTAGTCTGTAGTTATTTGGAAAGTGCCTTTGTACAAGAAAGCCAGTTTGCCCTGATTAGATTGTGTGTATTTATGAGGTTGGCCGAAGTTGCACAAATGATTCAGCAGATATGTGATAAGGACCAACTGTCGGTTTGCTGATGAGTAATACATTAAGGTGACATCCTTGTAAAAAAATCACCTGGAATTTTATTTTATTTTATTCCCCAGGTCGAGCCCGTCTGGCTTCAGCCAATACTTCAATTTCATCCATCAAAAAAGATGAACAGGATCAAAAAATCAAAAGCACAGGTGACACTGAGCAACCTGTGAAGGCATCACCTGACATATGAAAACAAAACAAAAAAAAAACTTCAGCCACACAAGGGACTTGTGAGGTCTTACTGGGTAAAATGGAGCATAGTCAGTTATTTAGTCTGTAGTTATTTGGAAAGTGCCTTTGTACAAGAAAGCCAGTTTGCCCTGATTAGATTGTGTGTATTTATGAGGTTGGCCGAAGTTGCACAAATGATTCAGCAGATATGTGATAAGGACCAACTGTTGGTTTGCTGATGAGTAATACATTAAGGTGACATCCTTGTAAAAAAATCACCTGGAATTTTTTTTTTATTTTTTTTTTTTAAATATGTCTAAATATACAGGCATATTGGTTTGATGATGTCATGCTTGGGCGCTGACACTGGTGGAGTGATATTCTGAAAATCCACTGAATTTTAATATGCTGAATCAAGCCCACATACCAAGCATAATTTGCACGTCAGTCAATGGCGTCCTAATTTACAGTCACAATAACACCCACTGTGACAGGCATGTTTCCTAAGCTAAACCACTTCCTGAAGATTAGTTTGTTAAATTGATTGACTAGGGCTTGTTAATGAGATGTAAACACAGGTAGGCTGTGAATGAGTCAGGAGCTGTTTTGCTATGTTTTGTTCTGCTATGTTTTGTATTATGTATAATCTTTTTAAATGCTTATTTTAGCTGTTTTATATGGCTACAGTATTACAGCCCTAATAGCAGTGTCTATCTTATAAACAATACAAAAAATGTAGCTGTGCTATTTACAAGTTATGCAAATAAAAAATATATAAAAATAATTTGTCTTAGACTTTTTTAAAGTCATTTAGTTTCATGGTGTATGTTTTTTATTGCGGTAAAAATCACTTAAGTTTATTGCATTGCAGTCACTTAGGTCAGATAAGCTAAAGGCTAAATAACATTATCTTAAACGTCTGTTTCTCCTCAAGGTAAACCTTTAAATTAGGATTATGGTCAGCATCAGGTCAGAAGTTAAGGTTAAGGTGAACTGACAGGCTGTCTATAGAGTTCGTTAAGCTTTATAAATTAACACAACCCCTTAATAATGATGATGTTTATGAGAAGAATGTATTCACACGTGACTCCTGATGGAAAGAAACTCAGTCATTTGATTTTAAGGGTGTTTGTCGCTCCTTCAAAAGCTGAGGACAGTAAGATCAATTGAATGAAGCTTTAGATCTAGTTCACGCCGTCTCCAGTAGTAGACTACTCCTCAGTCCTCATGAGGGGGCAAAAGGACAGTTTTTAACCGGGCTTCATACCCACATCCTGCAGTCTGCTCATGCTCTTGCTCTTGCTCTGCTCTCGTCCCGTAAAGCGGTGCGACTCCACCAGCGACAAACATGTACAACTTGGAAGTCAGTCCCGGTGAATACAAGACCTTCGATTAGGTGTGTAAGCAACAAAACTATCCATTATTATTGTTTTCGCTATCGTATAGGTATATATATATATATTAGTCATTTGTATAAGAATTATATGCGGTAATTTTTCTCCTATATTGTAATGCTGTCTGTTCGTGTAATCTTGTTAATTCCTTGTTTTTATTATATTGCTTTAAAGTTGTTGTTGTTATTACGACTTCATTAACTTATTAAAAGTTGCTGGTTCATTAAAGTGATGTTATAAGTGATAGGCTATTAATTGATATTAGCTATAAAGTAGGAGAGGCTGGAAATTAAGTGTTGTAACGTCTAAAGTAAGTTTTAACCAATTAGAAATTAGGGGGAAAGGAAGTGGTTAATTATTGTTTTAATCCTGATCTGTTCTATTAGATTACAACAGTAGCCTATTAATTCATTAAACTGATTAGACTACAAAAATATTTTTACAGACTACTGCAATAAAAAACCAATCACGTTATTAAAACTGTTAGTAGTATTATCAATATTAATAACAGTATTGCTTAAAATCGTCGTGCTAGTTCTGTTGGGATCAAAATGGTAGCAAATTTAATTCCATGTTTGTTTTGTTTCTCTAAGTTTAAAATCCTATACGTTGTTCACTTTAGACTGAGTGGCTATAAAAAGTTATTATGCAAACAATACAATTTACTTTACCTGTTGAATATACAGTGATGTAATGTCATTATTGTTGGGAGCTGTTCTTTAGAGACCAATCAAATGGTGCCATTTATCAGTTGTCTTGATATTATGAACACCAGTAAAAACTGTGAATATTAATGAGTCAAAGGGATTATCAGTCTGTCTCTTCCCTACAAGACCCAATTTTATATTCTATATATTACTGATTTTGAATTGACATATAGAATATAATTGTACAACACTCCCTCCCTGGTCTCTCACAGCAGTGTAAATTTAGCACTGTCCATGGGCTTTTGCATTTTCATGCAGTTTACCACAAACCTCATTCAAATTTCCCTGCCATTGGTGCAGAGCTTTCTGAATATCTCTGAACTCAGTATGGGCAGAGATACTAATACAAAATATTTTTATATATATCTTTAGAGTTATTGATATGTAGATTTGGAAACACAACTCTGTTATTTGGATATTGGATCAAGAGTTGGACATAGACCATGTGTGTGAATAAACTATGTGTATGATTTTCTTTGACTCATCCTCTAGAGTGAAACAAGCTGTTGGTAACATGGGGAATAACTCTGGAAAAGAAAGACATGGGTCTTCATCAGGTAACTTGCTCTTGACAACAAGTACACACACACACACACACACACACATATTATGTGTTTTATTGAGATACCTCCAAGGTGCAGGGACATACAAAATAATTTTTCAACAGAGAAAGAATATCAACAGAGACAGAGAGATATATAAACATGAAAAATAAGGAGAGAAAAGAGTGCTGTGTGAAGCAGGTATGTGAATGTTGAATATTGAAAAAGAAAGAACTGCAGGAGAGTTATTAAATATAAGAGAGAGAGAGAGAGAGAGTCATTATTGGAATACTGTATTGTACATTCTTCCCTGTTATTGGTGGTGTCCAGAGCCCTCAGACTCACTGACTCAGCAAACCTTTCCCACCAAGAGAGATGACAAAGACTTCTTAATGAAGAACACCCACCCACACACAGACACACACACTCACACTCACACACATTCAATCAAATCTTTTCCTGTTGGTTCATGTAAAAAAAAAAAGCAAATAGTGAAACCTGCCTTTTTTTTATTTATTTTTTTACTTTTTTCTTAAATGATTAATTCAACCAAAATTATTAATTTACTAATTCCAAACTCATATAATTTACTTTTGTACATGGTGCAAGTGTCATAAATTTAGTTTTTATGAAGCTATACAATAGCATTGTGTGAAGAACAGACAACATTTTAAGTTGTTTTGTTGCCAAAATTTACCAATGGTGTATGAAAAATAAATCGATTTTCTTTTTTATTGCAACATAACAATGGAAATTATATACAACATTTTTTGATGATAATGGATTTTACAGAGCTTAAGGGAATAGCAAAAAAAAAATGCAAAGGACTTCCATAGACTCTTAAAATAATGGAAAAAATTATACTTAAAATCTAGTTATTATGTCCTTCATACAGAATTCTTACTAAGTTGACTGATCTGAGAAGGAAAATAAAAAAATAAAAAATAAAGAAATGTTCTTGAAAGATACACTTAAAATAGGGGCAAAAGGATATTTTATATGTAATTTATTTATCTTTTTTATTATTATTATTTAAAAATGCATTTTAAAATCTTGAATCATTCTTTTAAAAGATGTTTAGATATTTTACTGGAAAACCAGAACAAAATGTGATTAGGAAAGTAGTGTTGATAGTAGTGTCATCTATCCAGATAAAGAGACAAAAAAATCTGTATTAGATTTCATTTGGTAGTCACATAATTCTGTACCCAGACAGTGTCTTCTTGTCCCCTGAAACCATTCATATATTAACCACATTCTGAACATTCCTTGAATAACAAATAAAGTTTCATTTCTATGACAGACTAACCTACGCACAGAAGTTATCATGTCAGGAAATGTTTTATTTTAAGAGACATCTGTCCGTTCTCAGAGCTCAACCTCTGTCTCTCTATAGGCACTGCTGCGGAAATGTATGAAACACCTCCCGCCTCGCCGTATAGTGTTGTTACTACCTGCTCACCAACCACACAATTGGTGTCCATTTCCAACTGTACAAGCACAGCCACCCCTGAATCAGCTCAAGACGCTCTGAGCTCCACCAATCAGAATGATGAGCCATTGTTGGACTGCAGGACAGGGCCTGCAAAGGAGGCTGAGGAGGGACTTAAGATGACAGAATCACCTGGGCAGGTGTCTTATCTCTCAGATGTGTGTATGAATGGAGACACAAAAGTGGACGCAAAACTTCTACAGGAGTGTTTGAACACACTGCAGCTTAACAACATTGAAGAATCCACGCACATATTAAATGGTGAGTTAGACAGTCATGCTATGTCCATTCATTCATTAACTGAAGCATGTACATATTTACATGAACTACATATACTCTTAAACATGTTGAATAAGTGTTCTACACATAATAACATTCTCAATGTATTACTGTACATGCATTCGGGGGTCTCAACTAGTGTCACTGGTCTGTTCTGATCATGGACAGCAGGAAGGAAAACATGCTACATGCGAATAATAAAATACAGTTAACCAAATAAGCATGCATATTTATATGCTTGTCTTTTGTTGTTGAAATCACTTTGCAGAAGATTTAGACGTTTTTGAAAACCTTGAACAAAACTGTGGAAGGTAAAAGGAAATACAACCCAGAGTACATCAAATATTACTTATTTATTTTATTTTTCATAGTTGGGTTGCCACTTGATATCTAATATTAAATCAGGGTCCTAAAGAATAACCTCTTGAAAACCACTAATACCTTTATAGATGTTTATTCACAGCTGTTGTTTACATAGTGTTTATTAAACAATTGTATAACTTTTATCATATTCCTGTTGCTGTGGGTTTATAAAGGCAATAAACCATTTGAGGTCATGCATTGCAATGGTTTTACTACTGTTGTAAACTTAAAGTAACACATTTCCTTTTGTGGTTTATTGCTTTATTATGTGCTTAGCAAATACTAATATTATTTATAATGTGATTAATATTGAGAATCACTTTTTTTATGTTTTTCAGATTTGTTAAAATGTTTTCTGGTGGAGAGGGAGAAGATAAAGGAGGAATTGAGAAGTTGTAAGGAGAAGATTAAGGTGAATCACATTTGCTTCTTTTTGTAGCATCCATGTACTCTCAAATGACACATTGTGTCTCAGCTGCTCCAAACCCTGACATTCAGTTTGTGCTTGACACTTTGGTTTCTAAAATTCGCTCTTTTGAAGACAGAGGAAAACGCAACAGGAAGTCACATTGTTCCCAGAGGTACAGGTCAAGGATTGCCTGATAACAGCTTGTCAGCTTCAGCAAAGGCTTATGGGACATGCAATCCTACAAATGACTCCTTTCCTGTCTTAGCTAGGAATGGACATGGTTTTTGTGAGCGTTTTGTGTTTATGTTATGGTTCTCTAACATGGGCCTAATCTGGTAGTCTCAAGGAATCAGATTAAAAAAAGATCTATTTTTGACAGGAATGAGGAAGAGTATAAAGAAAGGGACAGCAAAGGAAATCATTATCCCTTGCATAGATTTCTGAATAGATAGATTTAGTATGAAAGAAAGAGAAAGTTTATTCAATTAGTTACAGCAACTTGTGAACATCAAAACAGTTCTGTGGTCTTAAAGTAGCTATTCAGGGTGTCAGGCCTGCAGAAGTAGTAGGAGTGATTGAGACGCAGATGGAAACAGGGAGTGAACAGGAGATACTGAGGGGGATGTGGGGAATTCTGTTCAGCTCTTGCAAGTACAAAACTTTTTTGTTTGGCCACTGTGAGAGCAGAAGTCAGCATGTAACGACTCACTGACCAAACAACAGAGTGAATGTGTGTTACTGCCCAGCCTTCTGACATATCTTTACAAGTCAACTCAACCACTAATCACGCTTACATGAACCAAATAAATAATAGGACAATCAAGTCAACTTTATTTTATAGTGTTTTTTACAATAGAGATTATTTCGAAGTGGCTTTACAGTATTAAACAGGAAATTAATAGACTCAATCATGCAAACTTCAAAAATAGGACAAATCCAAATTCTGCTGTAATGCAGCTGTAGCAAGTCAGTAGTGTTATTATTCAGCTCCAGTCAGTTCAGTGTTGGTTCAGTTCAATAACTGTGTAAAGTTCAGACATTAGTGGCATTATTCAGCTCAATTCAGTTTTAGATTTGTTCTGATCCAATAGTGTCAGGGCAGTTTTTGCAACAAACATTGGTCAGCAAAACGTCCGAATAAACGAAATCCGGTAGAAGATTGTGTGGTGTGTTCTGCCGAATGTTCAGCAGCTCATCCCTGGTAAAACTGATCGTGTTTGAGAAACAAAAAACAGGAAAAACTAACAAAAACAGTACAAACACTGGAGAGCCAAACACTGCGGCTGCCGTCTGCGGCGCCATTTAGCTTTTTAATGTCACCAAATCAAAATCAACAACTCTTTTTTTAATGAAATGTTGCAGTGTTTATTTATTATAAATTATTTATCTGTGCATATAATTTAAAAAAATCATGTGCCCTCATAATCTTTAATCAGAAAAAATTAACGGTTACACTTTACTTGAAGGGGTGTGCGTAAGACTGACATGACACCTTCATAATCATGACATGACACATGTCATGAATATGAAGGAGGTTTTATGCATGTTTATGACAACTGTCATTAAGTGTCATTCGCTCAGTTATGTAATTTTTAATGCAAAGATGACATTGTTTGAGATGTCTTTGTTATGGGCTATGGTTAGGGGTAAGGGTAGGGGTAGGGTTAGGTCAAATAATGTTATATTTGCATTAAAAATGACATAACTGAGCGAATGACACTTAATGACAGTTGTCATAAACATGCATAAAACCTCCTTCATATTCATGACATGTGTCATGTCATGATTATGAAGGTGTCATGTCAGTCTTATGCACACCCCTTCAAGTAAAGTGTTACCAAATTAACTTCTCCTCCCTCTCACAATCAATGTTTTGTGCACTGGTGCAAGAGCGGGACAATAATTAGCAAATGACAACAATCCAATAAATTCCCAAAACAGTCCTGCTGTACATACACCATTCAAGATGCCGTTTAACTTGGATATATGTCAGAATACAAAAGAAAAGTCAGTCACTATTTCCGGTTCATGTTGACTTTAAAATGTCATTAAAAGGACCCTTTAATCTGTCTGAAATCAGAGTTTTTCCGATGTTTGTTTATTTCATTTTTAAAGTCAGACTGACAAAGCTCAGTAAATGCAATTGTAGCATGATTTCATCCAGCATGCGCACAACAGCAAGGCCAATTGTAGACTACAATTGGCCTTGCTGTTGTGCGCTTTCTCCAGAAGACAGAGATGATGCACAACATGTATTAAATCACTACCAGACAACTTTCATATTCACTCATAAGATTTAGAGTCACACGCTTTGTAATATTCCCGGTTTCATTTTGACCTGAATCTAACACGCAATGTCAATGTAACGGTGCTGACGAGACATGAGACGTGTGGATCCATCTGCAAGCTTTTAATAGAGAGACGTGGTAAACAGGCAGGGTCAAACAATGGGAAACAGGTATATGGCGGGCAAAACACAAGAATAGTCCTAGGGCTAGCGTAGGTCACCGATCGGCAGACAGAATCACAGGGGCGAGACGAGAGGGAAAAAAATTAATAAAAAAAAAAATCCCGGAAAACAGGCAAAGGTCAAAACCCGCAAAAATAGGCAAGGCAAAACAAGGAAAACACGGAGACTCGGAAAGGGGTACAGGCTAAA